GTTTTTTACAAAATCTTAGGGAGACTTTACCCGGACTTTAGAAGATATTGCAAAAGCTGGAGGGTCTGAGTCCTCAAAAGCCAAACTAATGCAAAGCAGAATAACTGATGAAAAGGCTGAAACCACAGGGGAATGCAGACTGAAAACTTTCAAAGTGTGATAAAACGGCACATGGTCCATTACAGCCTGAGAAGTCTGTCATGTTTAAATAAGTCTTTGAGTTGAAAAATTGCTAAAATGAATGTTTTTTTTAAATGCAGCTCCAGCAGTCTGTGTATGTTCTGGGTCATTGTGCCCACCCGACCACATTGGGGTCATGCAGATGCAGCAAAACACAAGAGATTACAGCCAGATAACAGCTGGGTTTCTGTCACTGAAATATAGGACACCATGAGGCCGGTGAATCTAAGAGCTTAAACTGACTAAAATAACCACTATTGTATTGAATTAACATTTGTTTACCCGGTTTGTGTCACTGATTTACACTGAAACTGCTCTGAAAAAGTGGAACATTTATTTAAAGTCACTTTTCTTACACTGCAAAAACAATGTAGAAAAAATAAGTTAAAACAAATCTTAAATTCAGAGCATTTACTCCTAATTTGAGTAGGTGAATGAAATGATTTGCCAATTGAAGGAGTATTTACTCTTAAAATAAGATAATTATATAATATGCACTTGAAATGAGACAATGCATTTTTTTTTCTTATCTTAAATGTAAATTGTCTTGTTCCATGGGCAAAGTGTCCCACTAACCTCCTCAATTCAAGAAAAAAATCCACTTATTTTAAGAAATATATGGCTTATTTAGAATTTTTTGCAGTGAATTTGACTAAATACAACTGAATTACGTAGGCTAACAGAAATAGATTTAGTCTAGAGCTGATCTTTTTAACTGGAGCTTGAGTAAACCTTTTTAACTTCTTCAGAATAATAAGGAGGCCTAGAGATTAGAGTTGATATTACATAAATAAACCAGAGATGAACATTAAAGGTGAAAATTAAAGATGAAAATAAATTATTTGGAATTTAACCTGCTGAATTTATGACAGGCAGTGCAATTGAAGAGTCAGGCATCCTTTCTATATTTTTTATACCTGTAATCCACATTCTAACAACTCATAATTAAAAACAAAAACAAGGTTTTTTACAACATATGATAAATATCCTGCAGCAGCTTTTTGCTTTCACCTATTTCCATTTATAATTTGAACTAAATTTACAGTTTTATGGGATTTATGATTAATATATCTTTGAAAGAGTCTGACTCTTAATGGTTTTGCCAATTCAGAAGTGGTAGAGGCAGAATCATGCTGAGGGAACTTTCCTCAATCATGAAATAATGAGATACTTGGGTTAAAAGGGTAAAAATGATTGCAGGAGAATAACAGGAACTTGCTGTTCTGTGAAAAGGTACTTGTTCCGTTACATATCCCCTCCATTTATGCTCTTTTGACATAGTTAAAGGGGAACACTGAAGGTTTAACTCCTCCCTGCCATTATGTAGGACACCCACTTTCATTTCATACTTTTTGCCGGCCGGTGCTAATGCTAAACTTTGGTTGCTGACATGGGTTAGCATTGGCGAATGTTTAATTTTCCAGTTCAGAAGAAAAGCAGCAACCTCCATGTGGCTTCTTGGTCTCTTTGCTTCTTAAAGTCAGCACCACTGCTAAAATATTAGACCATTTTGACCCTTGTCTTGCTTTTTTGCTTAAATCTGTGAAATGCAACACAGAGAAGAAGCAATTTCTCTGGGCTATCACGGATACGAGGATCCGACAATGCTGGAGCTCCATTTCTCGTGACTTAACCTACTATTCCTACTGGTGCAGAATACATCCTGACATTGGCATCATAACCAAAAGGAAATGTTTACTTATTTTGGACATGTCAACATTTTTATCTAACATGTAGAAAGAAAGCATCAACGACTCATCCAGGAGGCCACAAAAGAATCAAGAACAATAACTAAAGCTGTGCAGATATAATTTGCTACAGTTTTGATAAGTTTATTCAAGAATAATCATATTTGAAAAAAATAAAACTTCATCATTGCATTCTGACAAACCAACAAAGTTGCAATACCATCACAATACCGTAGTTATTGTTGATAGAGTGCAACTGCACTGCTGCTTTAGCATTTGGCCAACTTGTCAAAAATTATGGAACCACTAGTTCTGTTCTCCAAGATAAAACTGCTCTGACTTTGGATGCTTTGGCATTAGTATAAAGTGTTTAAATTCCAATTATAGTACAATTTGTGCCAGATTTCTTCTACAGCAATTTAAAGGCATAAAACAAGCCTTATATGAAACACTGAAAAGAGCAAATGTTGCTGCCATATGTGGCACAACCAAGTATTATATCAGTCTTTTACCCCTTGGATGCAGTTTTCTTTATTGTTGCTGTTGATAAAAATAATCAAAAGCTCCATGATGTTTTTCCTTATGGTAGATTTGTCTGATGTCAAAATTAGTTTGATGGTTTAAAAAAACAAAACACTTTTAGATTAATATCATTTTAGTTAAAGCATACAGCAACCCCTTTAATTTAAAGACGAAAAAGCAAACTAAGTTAAAAGGAAATAATAAGCGGGAACGTTTTTCTATCTTAAATGTGTATTGTGGTTTTTCCAGCATTAATCCTGCTCTGCTGATGGGCCTCAAAATAATAAGTACACAAACCATGCATGGGTAATCCATCACTTTATTCCAACTATAGATGCATTTGTGTGGTTTGGATCACAGGGAATAAGACATGAGGAGAATTTTTCTACATGTTTGTTATTGTATGTGTTGTGTATTGTGGCACATGCTGTTACTCTGGAAGTCATCTTTTTGATTAATGACTTACTTTAGAGAGGTAAGAGCTGGCCTGGACAGATATGATTTCCAATTTAGAGACCAGCACCTTTCTATATTTATGCCACCTTCTGAGTTTCTGTTACTAGATTATTCCTCATATTCTGGGGACTCAAACGCACTGATTGTTTTATTTTTTTCTTCTTCTTCTTAAGGTATATGTAATAAAAACTTAAGAAAATGAATCCAGATATGATCTGAATTCACAGCCAACTGATCCATATATACCGGGCAGTTATTTCATTTTAAAAGGGTCGAATCTTGAACCCAGAATGGAGTCTGGCCCATCCAAACAGCGTATAATCGGGAACATTGGAAGCAGAAAGGTCATTCCGATCTCTTGGCTGTGTTTAAAACAGCAGCCTTACCATTTGTGACTGATGGACTTCAATTTTCTCTTCCGTTGTTCATTTCACTGCCTCCCAGCTGGAGTGTGAATATTAGGCTTTGCACAGCCAGGGGGGAAAAGAGATATGGCTGTGTTAGCTGAGGCAGAGAGAAGGAGACCAAACCAAATGAGAAGAGAGAGAAAAAGAAGAAGGGATGGGGAGCAATGAATATTTCTCTTTCAGAGATCTTTAAGATGAAGAACCATTCCTGTGAATCCACACCCTCTATTAAAACTAAAGCGCGAGTCATTTAGCATTTAGATCTATCCTTCAAGACTCACCGGTATTTGACATTTTAGTTTAAGTGGAACAAACAGAACGGTTCCCTCAGTAATAGAAGCATCTTCATGCATATCCAGCAGCTTCACAGGAAATAAAATGTGTTTTCCAGCTGCCTCACTTTGAGGAATCGGCTCGGATGCTGTGTAATAGCTTTTCCCAGACAGGCACCATATTTCAGTTTTCAGGAGGATGCAAAACAAATATTTGTTTCCTGACTTAAGCATTAATTCACATAAGATCAAAGCTCCGATATACCAGTAATTATTTTATTAAGGATCAGAAAATAGACTGGGAGGCTCTTATCAGGTCTATAAAAAAAATGACTAACTTTCCACACTAATGAACTAATTTCCTCCACAGAATTAAAAGCTACTCATCAATGTAAGAAAACCTACTTTTTTTCAGGATAAAATTTGACTATTTTCCTTTGGTGTCCTTGTTGCTAACACTGATGTATTCAAAAATCAAAAATATCCAAATGTTCTCTCTTTTGTCGTGTTCAACATCAGAAAGACTTTAAGGGTCAGGTCAGGTGATGAGGCGGTTTAAAGAATCATCCATCACTGATACACACACTCACAGAGCTCTATTCAGGAAAAAGGTAGATGGTTTACAACCTCAGTATTAAAAAGTCAAGGCTTCCCTATTCCTACTATCTTTTTTTCTTTTACAGCTGAGTAAAATTTATTTTTATAAGGTTCAGGTTTAATGCAATTCTCTTGGCTTCATTGCCTGATTTACACATCGTTTCTGTTGTTATTTTTGCTATTATTAGTAATACTTTAATCAGTGTTAAAACATTCTCATAGTCTTAGGGTGTTTTTTATTTTTATTGCCACTTTTGCCTTTAGTAAAACAGTATTTTAATCCTAACATAAATAAAAGGCAAAAATCAGGCTTTGTAGGCAAATTTATTTAGGTTTGTCGTCCATGCAGCCTGATTTTACAAACTATGTTAACAGTTCTTTGCAGAAAACATGGTGGAGGAGCAACAGAAATGACTGGCAAGGGTTGGAAAATGTAAACATTTAGAGATATATCATATTTTGGCCAACATTACTTGAATCAAGAAATTGTGTAAGTTGTGTATGTTCAGTTTTGTTGTAAGCTTATGTCTCATTTCTGTGTGGAGCATATGTCCATCATAATGAGCCTTTATGTCTCATAAAGTTCTACACAATTTTGCACTTCAGTGTATTTTGTTGGGACTTAAATAAATAACAATAAAAAGCTCAATTTTGAAGTAGAATAAAAAAGAGGAATAACTCACACAAAAAAAAACTAAGTGTGGCTTATTTGAATTTATCCTTTCCAGGTGATTTTTTTTTAGAAAAAACTGACTTCAATTACGGCTTCATCTTTTCTGGAATACTGGTTTTACTCATTGAGACTAAGATTGGTTGCTCAAACATGTGAATCAAACGGAGAAAGAGTTGGTGGAACAAATGGGCACAGATAACCTTACCTGATGCAGAGCAGTTAGGCCATCTTCATTGCAGAGATCCGGACTCACATTGTTCCTCAGTAGGTAGCGAACTGATAGAAAACGAGACAGAAAAACAGAAATCAATACTTGAGCTTCTTACAGGCGTTAGCCTTGCAGGTTGTGCCCTGCAGTATCATCACTGGAGGTCCCCTCTGAGGATGCTTACTTTTAAATTAAATGTGCATTGCAAGCCAGTGTATTATCAAATTACATTATGGTTACAGTAACAACTCTTGATTCTTGGTCAATAAATCCCCTTTTCCAATCATTTATACTATATTACTAAGATGTCTCTGAAATTGAACAGTTTAAAACCTCTGCAGAATTTTAAAATCTCAATTTTAATAACACTACATTTAATTATATTTCTCACCTTGGCCCTCTATTTGGCGGTCAAATTGTTAAAGTGGGTTTGTTGCCACACAGGAAGGTAGAGAGTTGCAGCTAGCACGCAGATCCATGCATGCAAGTATAAGGAAGCAGTTTTTTCGCACAAAGATTACAGTAAAATTCTGCAACATTGGACTGTGAGCAAGTAAGATTTAAAAAGCTATAAGCCTGGAGGGAAATATCTACAAGCTGGGGGTTGATGCAAAAGAAAATCGCAATATTTGTTAAAAATTATCGCAATTTTGATTTTTGGAAACATTGTTCAGCGGACTGGTGAGGTAGTTGGATTTAATGATACATAGGATCACATGGTGTTTCCAACTCTATGTCCAACAGATCAAACTGGAGATTATTGACCAAAAATATGGCATGTCCGTCTGGACACTCGATGGATACACCTGCCTATTTGAGTGGGATAAAACATCAGGTTCCTGATTTTGCTTCAGATGTCATCCGTCTTTACTTCCCTCACTCAAACCATAAAAATAAAACACCAAAAAAAAAAAAGAAACAGTTTCATATGAGCTGTGTAAAGAACACGAGCCAAGCCACACATTAAAAGCAAAAAATAACATTTACCCAAGACTTTGTTATTTATATATTCACCACAAGGACACTGTGCTTTAAATTGCTTGGCTCTGGTTTGATTTCTACTGAAATTTATTTTCAGGATATTATTCATGAGCAAAATTACCACATGAAGACAGGCCTGATTTATGTTTCCGGCAGAAAACTACTCATTCAATCTGAACTGACTGTGTCTCAGGAAGAGAAACCCTGGGCAGAAAAATAAATAACTGATTCTAAACTTTTCTGCTCCTTGAAGGTTTGTCAGTGAAGCTAACATATATGACAGTCATAATTTCCAGCATTTTTCTCTGTATTTATGTAAAATACTTTTACCATGATTATAGGATTAAAGACCAAAACCCTTTAAACATATGATATTTTTAGGCCAAAATCTTAAAAAAAAACAGAATTAGGTAAAACTCTTGTATCGGATTATTTTATACTTTATTATAAATTATAATTATACTGTATACTTGATCAAATGAAAGAAAACTCTATATGGAAGGCTGTAGAGGGAGGTTGTAATAATAGGATGTATAAAGATAATGTTGGCTGAAAAGCATCCAGGCATGATGCTGTTACCGTCTCAAATTAGGTCAAGATTTTTAACTCCTATGGCTTCAAAATGTTTAAAGACCACACCACACTGATCCAGCAGTTCAAAGTCCTTTTTAATGATATTCCATAGAAAGTGCTGAAGTAACTAGAGTTTTTGCGCTCCCCTCCCTCACCTGTTGCTGTAAACAGTTAGCTGGCAAAAAGAAAATAACAAAAAAAAACAGACAAGATCTCCAAATGAAAAAGTTGGTTGTTTCTAGTCAGTCATGCAGGAGAGATCCCTCGTCTTATGAACCCTTGCAAAAAAAAAAATGAAAAAAATCATGTTGCTGGATTAACAGAGCAGAAAGCCTGGCTAATGAGCCTATATTAGCTTGTTAGATTTCAAGTACTAGCTTACTTAAAAGTAATACCAACTAGGGTGTTTATTCCAAATTTTATGTCTATGATGCAAAGTTAACATACCACTAAATGATTTAAATTGCACTATTAATACAATTCAGTTTATTTATATGGCATCCATTAAAAATACATGTAATGTCAAACAACTTTACAAATATAAGTCAACTAGATCATACAGTTAGATTGATTAAAGTTTTCTTTTCGAGGAAAACCAGCTGATTGAGTCATTAACACAACAGCAATCCCTCACTCCAAGCATGCATGCAGCGACAGTGGAGAGGACAAACTCCCTTTACCTTCCTTACTTTTAATTTTCCATCAGTACCTTTATTAATCACTGTATTAATTCTGGTACAGAGAAGGAAGAAATGTTTGCTTGTTATTAAATAAAAGCATATAAATAAACCCTCGCCTTGTTTTTGTTATACATTACGGTGTAAATAAAATGAAACAATTATTTATGTACTCAAGGTTACAAAATTACACTAGTGTCTAAATGTATCTTGCCTATTTTTTTATATACAGTTTATTTTAAGGAACTAAAAAAAAAAAAGTCCCTTTCTTTAACTGAGTTTACAGTCTAGGAAAGAATACCTACTTTTACAATATTGATGCAGTTTGTGGTGTTCAATTTTCATATTTATATACATTTTCTGGAAACACTTAAAGACCAAATCATTTATTTTGAAAACCTCACAAAAGACTGATGATAAACTTTCTCTTCATCATGTCGGTAAGTTTGACATATTCCCTCGTTTCTTTCATTTGTAAATCTCTCACAGGGAAAAAAATATATATCTACTGTCAATACTGATACTACATGAAATTAGTTAAAGTTCATGTTCCAGCATTTGATTTTATAAGCCTAGAACACCTTTCCTTGTTTCATATACATTATATATATTCTATATACCGTATTTTCACGACCATAAGGCGCACGGTACTAAAAGGCGCAGTCTCAGTTATGTGTCTCATTTCTGTATTTAACACACACATAAGGCGCACCGGACTATAGGGCGCGTTTTTTATATACAGGTACATGTCCTCTACTACCTTTAAATACCTCTACTGCGTATTTAAAAATACAGCGGGGGCAAAACTGAGTATGACTGTGCTTTATTCATGTATTTATTACAAAGTATTAATCAAACCTGGGTGCTGGCCGTGAGACAGACACATCGCAGATGACACACAGCGCTGTGATTACTCCTAAATTAACTTAAAATCCTGAAACCTGCCGACAGAATATGTTCGCTTTTATTACCGGTATCCTGGTGCCTGCAATTTAAATTATTTAGATGAAAAACACCTGCCAGCCACTGCATGAACCCGGAGGCTGCCCAGCCTAGAGGCTGCTGATGAAGGGATTTCTACTGTCGGTGCACCGCTGGTATGTGGGGGTCTGAGCGCCTCCGACAGAAATAGATAATCTGGATGAACTGACTGCAATTATTAAGTTTTCAGGTGGACTTTCTCACGTAAAAAACATATTAAAACTACTTTATTCCCCCGGATCACAGCAAATATAGCTGCAAGATTTAGATTATTTAGATGAAAAAACACCTGCCAGCCACCGCGGTGAAGAGGAGGAGACACGGCCCAGAGGCTGCTGTTGAATTAAGTTTTCAGGTAGAAAAATAGAACGGGAGCAAAACTGAGTATGATTGTGCTTTATTCATGTATTTATTACAAAGTATTAATCAAACTCATCAAAGTCATCATCCTCTGTTTCTGAATTAAACAGCTGCGCTAAATCAGACATGCTAATTTCCCCTTCTTCGCTGTCAGAGTCACTTTCCGTGCAGCGCAGCTCCTCAGAAATAATGCCGGCTTTTGCAAAAGCTTGAACAACAGAGCCAGCAGACACGTTAGTCCAAGCATCTACAATCCATCCGCAAACGGTGGCGTAACTTGCCCGGCGCTGCCTTCCACTTATCCTGAAACTGTGGTCTCCGTCTGTCATCCATCGCTCCCACGCCGCTCGCAGCCTTACTTTGAACGGCCGCTTCACACCGATGTCGAGCGGTGGAAGTTCCTTTGTCAGACCTCCCGGGATAACGGCAAGCACAGCGTTTATTTTTTTTCACCATGTTTTTCAAATCAGCTGTGAGATGGGTACGCATGGAGTCACATATTAAAAGCGATGGTGATGCGTGGAAAAAAACCACCTGGTCTCCTCACATACACCTCCCTCAGCCACGCTTTCATCATCTCCTCATCCATCCAGCCCTTTCATTTGCTTTAAAATCATATGTCATCAGAGCGCTGTGTCTGTCTCGCTGTCAGCTCCCAGATCAGCTTCTCTGATTCGTTGATGCGGTGCGTCCAGCAGCAAAACTTCAATTTTTTCCATCTCGAGCAGCAGCAGCGCGTTGGTGGCGCGCTCCCGACTCGCTGCGCCTGCTGCTTTAAACGCGCTGCGGGACCTTTTGCTGCGTCTATACGTTCGTCAACCGTTGACTTTGCATGTAAACTCGCTGCTTCTGCTGCACCTGCTGGGTCCGGTTCACACCGATGTCGAGCAGCGTTAATTTGTTTCCCCATGTTTTTCACATCAGCTGTGAGATGGGCACGCATGGAGTCAGATTAACAGCGATGGTGATGAGTGGAAAAAAAAACACCTGGTCTCCTTACATTCAGCCACTCTTTCATCATCTCCTCAATGAGGTGGTCTCAAAAGTCGCAGTTGCAACACACATAGGGCGCACCGCACATTTTGAGGGAAAAAAAAGACGTTTATGTGCGCCTTATAGTTGTGAAAATACGGTAAAAGAATGTTTAAAGGAATCGTAGATAATTTCAGCCTTCATTATTGTCATAAACTAAGGAGCAGCTGTGAGGAGCAACTTTTATCAGCAAAATTTCTAGAGAACATCTTGAATCCAGCTTCTGTTAGACCTTGATTATGCTTTTTACTCACGGCGCTGGCTCCCTTTGATATTTTTGTTTTGTCATAAAGCTTCCAGAATATTTTTACTACCACTCATACAGCCATCTTTATAAATTGAAGGTAGAACGGAGCAAAATGAGCTGCTAGGGCAGCTGTTGTGGTTTCATGCACTTGTGTAGATTTTAAGAAGACAATCAACTATTAAAGAAATGAGCTAGAGGTTCTAGAGTGAGCGATCAA